ATATGAAGTCACCCTATAGTATGAATTTTATAAATTTTACAATTTTGTGTAAACAAACTTAAAAATATTAAAAATATCATAATTTCGCCAATATCGATCTGATCGACCTGTGCTTACCACCATTCGAATCGTCTCAATGAGACGGATCAAAAGAACTATAAATCGGAAAATTTCAATCACAGGATCAGAAAATATTGTAGATGACATTTAGGCTTTTAGAGCGTAATCATGTGATAAATATCGATCTTACAAACATTAAATTATTACCATTCAAATCCTCTCAATGAGACGAATCTGATGAACCCAAAATTTCAAAATTTCAATCACTAGATCTTAAAATAACCTTAACATACAATTTTAAATTTTAAAATTCATGAATTTCGCAAACTCGAAAAATTTATAATTTACATAGTATTACATTTGCATAATACCTGTAATTAATATGTAATATAATGGCATAATACTTTTTCAACATTATGCTTGCATACCTTATTAAATTTTCTAATAAAACTACTTGAAAAGTACTATGTTAAAGTTGCATTGAAAGGTATTCCTCCAGAATATTATAAAAAATCTATCAATAGCATATCTCTGTGAATTGGGGAGTTATTTTTGCAAATGGAGATAGAATTTATTATTAAAATTTTATCTGAATTAGTAAACAAAGACATAATGAATTTGTTTAACCTAAATTTTTATTGCTATATTATATATATATAAATTATTTCAACTTGAAAAGTGGCCGGATAATTCTGATCGCCCTCTGTATTTTAATTCAAATTTTAACAGTTGGAATTATTAGCTATGACTAATAATTTAATATATATGGTTCATAAGAAAATTTTCAAAATAGTGGAAAACTGAAAAATATATATATACGTATATATATAATTCAAATCAGTATTCTAAGATTACTATTTGGATTTACTAATATATGCAGATATTCAAATTCAATTAGAATTGAAGGATTAATTTTAATTGACCAGATTACAGATTAAAACATTACTATAGGAAAATTTTGTATTTATATTGTAAATAGTTTTATTAATAGTTTTAAAGTGTTATAGTTTCATATAAATTATTATAATTGATATAAATTTACTTTAGAGATGTTTAAAAAAACAGAATAAAATATGTTAATAAAATTAGGTTAAATCATCTAGGTGAAATCATTCTAAGTTATAATAATCCTATAGGATATATTATATAAAAAAAAAAGTTTTTTACTTCAAATCACCGGGGGTGAGTATCACCGTTGGCAAATTTTACTGGCACTCTATTTATTTAATGCTGGTCGATCGTCATAATTTCAGTCATCGGTGATCATCACCCCCGGTGATAGTTAGAAAAATTAAAAAAAAAAAAATATATCGTCATTAATTTTATTAACTAAAAAATTAATTATAATTATTTATGAATTATAATTCAAATTAGATAATTTCATATCCTAAATATAAATTTATAAATTTATGTAAATTTATACTTTATATATATATCTACATTGTTTTCACAATAAAATAGATATTGTGATAATTTGATATATACTTGTTTATACAAAAAAAATATTTAATATGTAATATATATTATATAATGATTTTTTTCTCCAATAAGTTCGATATTTATATTCAATCTTTGATTGTAACAGAATAACTAACTAGATAATAATATATATTATAATAATTCAACAATACAATAATAACTAATAAACTATTAAAATCTTTTACCTTTTCTAGGTAATATCTCTTTATTACCCATGAAGCTTACCATTTGGCCTACCGTTTAAAGCTTCCAAATTTGGATTTTTTACTGCCTTGGTCTTTTTTCTCTTAAGCTTTCTCCATTGGCCATTTGACAAATTCATTTCAAATATGAAAGTTTCTTGAATTTCCTTGCCTTCATTAGGGATTGGCGTCTTTTCTTCATGTAAAATAATATGGCGAATCTCATCTTCATTACAAGATACTCCACTTGATATACTCATAAGTTTTTCGCGTTCTAATTATTTGGGAAAATAGATATTAATATATCATAAATAGATAAAAAAAAAGAGATGTATTTTTGTTCAACATTACGTTCTGGTTTAGTGTGATGTCCACCTAAAAAGTTTATTATGAGCTGACGGTTGTCTCCGTGAATCTTATTAGATTTATCAAGAACTGCTCCGCAATTCATTTCGAATTGTTTTCTCATTGTTTCAGTCATTTCGATCTTGGGTATTTCTTCAAATTGTGATTTTGGCAGTTCTAAATCTGCAGCCATAGGATGTTCAGATACTAAGGGGAAGAAAAATAAAATAAAATAAAATATATGGGATTAGATAAATTATAATATGTAATAATAATGATGATGTTATTACCTGATGATACTGGCTCAGCTGTAGTTGATGTATTAACTGGATTTGAACCCGAACCGTTCTGTGATATCATAACAGTGTTGAAATTATCTGTTGAGTTATCTGGCTGATATAGATGCGTTGGTGATAATGAAGACGTAGGTGCCACCGCTTTCTTAGGCTTCTTGTGTGGCAATTCTTCATCCGATACAATTTCATCTTCAACTGTTTCATCATCTGTAAATATAAATTTATGAATATTAATTAAACCGATTAATAAATTATCGATTCGAATATATAAATTTAAAAAAATATTATTTAATAATTTTATCTATGAATTTGACATTGACATTTCATAACAATAGCAAATAATTTTAAAATAATAAATGCTAATTGCTATAAAGGCTATGGTCACAATGTGAAATAAAAATACTTTACTATTAATTTTCTTTTTTTTTCGTGTAACTGCTAAATAAATAAATAAAATTTCCTAAGTCAGTAAAACATAAATTAATTGTTTTGTTCTTAATAAGAGCGAATCTTACCGGGAACATTAGTCGGTTGTATGTCACCCATTTCATTAGAAGCCGCTGTTGCTGCTGCCGCCGCCGCCGCTTTTGCTGCAGCCTTTTCACGTTTTTCTTTCTCTTTTGCTAGTCTGGCTTCCTCCTTTAGTTTTGCTTTCTCAGCCTTTTCACGTTCTTTTTGTTTTTTTTTCTCCTCTTCTTCGCGTCTTTTTTCTTCTTGACGTTTTTCCCGTTCCTGTCTTCGCATTTCTTTCATTTGTTGTTCCTCTGACCGACATCATAGAAGAGAAAGTAATTTACACATTATCAAAATTGGCTACACTGAAATATTCCAGTCAAAGGAAAAAATATACATCAAATAATAGCCACACAATATGATAAAGTACTATGTGAAATATTCGTACCCATTTGTGTTTTAAGTTTTGTTTCTTCTTGATTTCGTGTTATAGTTGTTGCTGTTGTTATATCAAGCATTTGAATTTTCGTCGGTTTCACATATTTTTTTCCTTGAGTAATTTTTGGCTCTGTTGGTGAATCTGGTCCTTGTGTAGATCCAGAAAAAGATCCTTATAACAGCAAATCGGTATTAGGAACAATTAATTATTATAAGAACATTTATTTAATATATTAAATAACGCAATTTTAATTACCACGAGAAGGATTCGGAGGTCTGTGGAATGGTTGTGACAATTGTGAAGGTCGACGTTTAGGAGGAATAAATAACGAAGGCCCCGATGAAGTAGTTGATCGATTCGAAGGAAGGCCTTGTGATGAACCAATCCGATTCTGATCTGACATAAAATTAAATCCTGTTGCATTGACAGGAGAGGTTAATCCTGGCGAAGGTGGTGGCATTGCTACATTGTTCAGGGCATGTAAACGTTGTTGCTTTGATATTTCAATTCCCTGCCTTAAAGTAAAATGTGAAGAGGGCGAACGAACAGCTTCTGTGTTGATTGAAAGAGTTGAAAAGGCATCACTTATGTCACGATCTATAAAAGCATATTCTGTCGGATGAAATTTTATTCCAGTTTGTTGTACTTTACATTAAATGGTACTTTGTTAGTTTTGAATTTTAACAAATTTCCGCTTTAAAAATAGAAGAACATATATCTTACTGCGTTCCATTAAACTTTGAAGTCCAAGCTGAGCGTCCTCAGGAATATGTTGTTCTATGTTAAGGTCAAGTGTACCTGTGGATGGATAATTTTGTAACATTTTTGATACTAAGCGGACCCACTCGTCATTGTCATTGCATCCATTTGTAATTATCTAAAATTTGACATAATCGAAAAGAATAGAAGTAGATGAGTAAAGATTCATACGTAATAAAAAAAGATGGTTGTATCAGTTACAGTTTATTGAACAGGCGGTTAAGTATATTATTTAGTTTTAAATTTACTTAAGGCATTCCTCAAGATGTATTATTTTATTCCTCTAATAGTAATAATATCACAAGTAAACTAAAACTTTTCTTATACTAAATTTTATTTTTGGAATATAAAATGAATGACAATGTCTAAAAAAAGCGCGATGCCATAAAATCAGATGTAATGCATAAAAATTTTCGTATTAATAATCAACTCGAACATTACATATTTGTTGTTTGCCATATCTTTAAAACGCGATTCAATTTACAGTAATTTTTTTAAGCGATTACAGAATAAATCTTGCAACACATACCGCAGTCAGTTCATTTCCCATACTACTCAGCAAGAGTTTCCTAATGCACAAAAGTGCAAACAAAACTCCCAGCTTAATGTTAGAAGGATATAAGTTCCAACGACTACAAATATGCTGCAGTATTTCCCTTGTAAGTTCCGGACCTACGATCGAAGGAAACAACCAAGGATTGGTTGACGACTGAATCAACCAATTTTCAACTCCTTCTGGCGTATTGCGATCCGCGGCCATTAATAAAAGTTTATAAGTGCTTCAGTGGATAAAAATTACAACTTTCACAGTAGCGTTACGGACAAGTCTTTGTTGTTGAAACCGAACTGAATGATCAGTGCACGATCCCAAGTTGGGTGGAGAAGAATCTACTATTTTATACATACGTGTGTAGCTGGAGTGTGAAATAGCAGTTTTTGGTCTTTCTTCAAAACAAATTCACGTGATCATATAGTTAGTAATTGAATCAGCAAATCAAATGAGTTATCCGGGTTGAGTTCATTGCGATATATCATGTGCATTTTTTATTTACAAATGAAAGGAATTAATTGTATTTAAATATGCGTAATAAGTAATAATGAAAAGAAATTCAAGAAATTAATGTTTGTGAATTAATTTTGCGAAATTATTTCCAGAAAAAAGGAAGTTTGTGACTCGTTGGCTCCCATGCACTAAAAAAAAATAAATAAAAGATTAGTTAAACCATCCGATAAATTTATTTATTTTTCAGTTGATATTTCAACCTTGGGCTCAGTTTGACGTCTATAAAATTAACAATTATTACGTTATTAAATTAGTTAAACAATTAAATATATTTAAAAAAAGGAAATTAACCTAAAGCAAGTTTGAATGAATGATTTTTCAATCTCTTCTGCATTTAATTTGTATGCGCCTTGAATAAGTACTGACGGAGTAGATTGTCTCATAAAAGGGTTTTCGATAAACGCACGACCGTTATAATTCGCAAAAAGGATGGGTTGTTCTAGAAAATTTAAATTAATTTGAGTATTCATAGATAATAATGTTTAATCAATATATTTCACATACTCGGAAGTGCACGAATTTGTTGTTCATTTAAATGAATTGTTTTTTTCTTCTTTCGGGGAAAGTTGGGTGCTTTCCAAGCGAGAGTCGCGGCACTGTCTGCGTTATCTGTATAAGTCCTTTTAACCGACCTGTGTTGCGCCACAATTGAAGAACCTTTGTTTTTTATAAAATTCGTCTCTTCACCTTAGAATTAACGAATTGACAAGACCTTAATCATAAATTTTCGCCTTATACATTACTTGTCTTTTTAAACCTTCGAGAATCTTCTTCAATGTTAACTTCGTCAGTTTTCTTAGGCTTCGGAATACGTGAAGAAGTTCTAATAGCTTTTGTCTTGATACCCGATTTAGTTGATTTTTTAGCTAATACTTCAGGAGTCAAGATCTCGGATGGAAGTTTAAAAATCTGCTGATGGCAAACTTTTTCAAAGTCGACTAGCTTAAAATATCTAAAAGATACATGTTCTGGGATGACTACTTTAGAATTTGAAGACATTAATATTTCCTTTAATACGAAAGTTGGGAATATTTTATAGTTAAAAAACCAAATCAAAATCAGGTTAAGAATTATTTAAATAAGTTAATTATATATGAACATTAATTTTATTTACTTTTAAATTATATAAATCACGTTCTTTTTATCAATGAATATTATATATATATATGTATAATAAATTTTTCTTAGGAATGAAATATATCTGGAAAATAATAGTTGCTTATATCATGTAAATAATAAAACAAATACTAAATTATGCTAAATTCTTTTAAAATTAATCAAACAAAAATAAAAGTATGAGATTCTATCAAATTTTAGGATTTTTATATTAATATATAGAACCTATACAAATTCTAATAGTAAAAAAAAAAAAAAAATATAAAGGATGATAAACAAAGTTGTACCAAAGTATCCACAATATTTTGACTGATCGCCCAAAAGAATAAATTTCACCATTGCTTTAGAAAGCATGAGAATCAGGGCATAAAAAAAAAATTGTTCAATACAAATAGATTTTCACTCAATTCTTTAACTTTGGAACGACTTATTAGGCAGATAACTGTAATTTTACCGATAAGGATGGTAGTTATGTTGTCCACGTACTTGGTGGCTACTGTACAATGCACCACCCGAACCACTATTATTCATGGAACTAGAATAAGAGGACCGAGTAGGTCCACTTCGAGAACTGTTGCCGCCACGACCATACATAGGAGAAGTCGGATGGTGGTGGTGGTGGTCTCTATAATTACTTTCATCCCGACCGGGAGAGTGTCGATATGCACCTAATCGACTGCTAGAACTTGGTCCACCCATTGCTGAGCCACTCCCAGATGATGGCCCACCTGAACCATAGCCGCTTTCTCCTCTTCCGTACCATTGGCTGTAAGATCCTCCACGACTTCCGGAACCTCCGTAACTGCTACTACTACCTCCATATTGACTATTATAACCACCATACCTACTAAATGTTTTTAAAATAAAAATATAAACGTAAAATAAACAATATATTAATAATAATTAATAAATTTCTAATTTGCAATCAAATATTACCTTGAAGAATAATAAGCATTCATAGCATTATATTGAGCATACCCGCTAGGATAAGAACTTGGATAATTATAATTGGGATATTGGCCGTATCCACCATAGCCCGAATATGAACTAGGATTGTAACTGCCAAGACCAGAATATCCCCCGGAACTCCCATCTTTCCCAACACCGGACATTCCATATGGGGAACTATATCTGCTACTAGCTGAGCTAGCTGAAGAGGATAAACCAGACATAGCAGCCGCGGCTGATGCTGGAGACGATGATCCGTAATTTCCTTGATAAATATTAATTCTTTGTGATTTGTGTTTAGGCATTGCACGCTTCACTTCAACCTATATATTAAAATTAAATTGATTAATAAAGTACAAATAAAATTACAAATAAAATAGAATCAATTTACCGGTTTATTTTGAATTTCCAAGTCGTTTCTACCCATAGCCTTCTCAACTGGTTCAGAAGAATCAAAAGTGATAAACCCAAAACCACGAGGTCTACCAGTATCACGATCAACCATCAAGGTCGCATCAATGACATTTCCAAATTGAAGGAAATATTCTTTAAATTCTTCTTCAGATACTTCCGGCGCAATACCTCCTACAAAGATTTTTTCGGTTTTTTCTTGTTCTTCACGTGGGATGGCTCGTTTGGGATCAATCTATATTTTAATATTGATTTACATAAATCATTTTTTATTCACAAACATGAAAATCGACAATATCAAGGTTTTCCTTAATTTCGGGCAGTACTATGAAGATTTGTGATTATAATATTCCTACTTACAATTTTCCCATCCAATTGATGTTCTTTCACCAATACGGTATTGACAATGGAAGGATCTACAAATGTGAGAAAACCAAAACCACGAGATCTCCCTGTATTCGGATCTCTCATAACTATACAATCCGTTACTTCACCGTACTGTGAAAAGTATGATTTAAGGCTCTCTAATATTAATTTAATTTATTTAACCATAGGGAATTGATTTGGTATTAAAAAAAGAAAAATAAGAAGATAGATGAATAAATCGTTGAAAGTATTTAATAATAAATATTTTATTCAAAATTGAATAATAAATATTGAAATATTCAATGAAAAAGTAAAAATAATTCGGATTAAAGATGATCCACTCAGAGTTCTTGAAAAATGATGCTCAAGCTAATCAACTTTCCATTGAACTTCGCAAATCCAAAAATAAAATAATAAATGACAAATTTCTCTCTTAATAAAATTGCATCCTATAGAATATCTCTTATGTTTGATTGTCTCTTTAATAAATATATGAATCAACGATGAGAAAAAATTTTTTAACTAACGACAGATTGTCGACTAGCATCTTTCATATTAAATATATATAAAGAGAGCGAGAGAGAGAGAGAGAGAGAGAGACCACAACGCATAGGAAATAAAATAAATTGTAAAGAAGGCTACGGTAAGACTAAAATACAAGAATCTTACCATCGGTTGTTTCCCAATTAAGACCTCCTATGAACATCTTTCTACAGTATTCAATGTGAACGATTTATGGTAAAGGAATACAGTTGATAGATAGATAGATAGATAGATGTATTCGATATATATAGATATAATAATTTATATATATAAATAGTGTAAAAAAAAAGTATTGGGGAAAAAGAGAAACCTATTAGTTGTAATTTATCTGCAATGCTCTAAAGAAATAAAAATAAACCTAACCACAAAAAAAAAAAAAAAATATTATATTATAGTATCTTCGAAAATTTTATATTTCTCCCTCTCCCTCTCTTTCCATGCTACATCATAAAATTGTAATCCAGATTTCTTTGTGTTATATTTCTCTATTTTATGATTTGTATAGGCAATTTCCTTCCTCAAGGCTAATAATTATAATTTTTTGTGTATAACTATATGTGTAAGTTTGAGTATTAAAAGCCTCTCCAGAGTTTGCCTTCTTTCGATTTTCTTTCCATATATTAGAAATCATAGAAGTGCATCATGAAGAATATTCCTGGATCGCTGGTTTCGAGCAAGACAAGAAAAAAAAAGATACGGAAAAAAAAGAGGGGGAAAACTCCACAGAAAATTGCAATCTAAAAGTTTCAACTAAAAGAAAATTGCAAAAAATATTATCAAAGCGATGATACTTTACCCTTCTTCGTGTGTTGATGCTTTATTATTTTCTTCTTTTTTGATCATCATATCAGTTTCTTGAACTGATCTTCCATCTTGTTTAGAATCTGATGATTGGCGAGATGACGAACTGTCGGCTGCCATTGTGAACTATTTGTTGCTTAATAATTAGTTTTTTACGATTGATCTTTTGGTTCGAATAGTAAACTCCTTCACTGAAAAAGCCTGATGTTTATAAATATATTTGACTGTTAAAAAAATGTATTTCAATGTAAAAACTACCCATTAGTAACTTACTATATATATATTTTCAATAAGAGCGGGCTGAAAACTGGGACAAAAGGTTATTAATTACAACTCCTCTGTAACACAGTTTTTATTTGTGTAAGAAAACATTGTAAATTACTAATACGTAAATTATAACACTGCGCCAAATCTTTTGTAGTATTGACGTAAATTGAAGAAAATGAATTTACATATAAATCATGTGAACACATGAAATTAAAGATATTATGCACCTAAATGGCTTCCATCAAATTATATTATTTTACCTTAACAACAACAAGTATTACAACAAAAAAAATTATTATTACAACAACAACAACAGCAACAGCAGAAGCAGCTCTAACCAGCTAAACAATATTGGTATCATTATTCCTTTGCTGATGGCAAGATTAAAGATAAGACAGTAAGAACAATGATATACAAAGAAATGCTACAGTATTTACCTAAAGTCACTCAAGGCAATTTGCGAATTCGAACTTATAGAACTAAAAGATTTCTTATGCTATTTGGAGAAAAGGGTTGGGTAGATAGAATTAAGTCAGTCACTTAGCGCGAGCGATATTTCTAGATTAAACAATGCTCAATTTCAAAATATTATAGACTAACGATAGCAGAAACGATCACATCTCAAACAAGTAGGACTAATCCAACCTATATTTTTGCAACAAGATATTGGTTTAGTAGTTATTATGGCATTACTGATGACATCATGCCCATTATGCAAATTAGGTCATGATGATGAAGAAAGTATAGAAAGTAGGTATAAAGCCGGATCAGCATGAAATTGAGATAACTGCATAATCTGGGGTCTCTATGAGACTGCTCATGTTTCATTGTGATATTTTTAGGGCTAATTTATATCAACTATTACCTAATTTAGATTGTTTGCAGTCATGTAAAAAGAAAATAACCGAGTCTGAATCCCAAATATCTGGATTGGCATGCTCAAATTAACTGGATTACCATGTATTTTGACAGATAAGATTCGGTCCAACTTATATAAAAAATATAAAAAAGAAACTGGACATGAGCCATGGCAATTGTCAGATGTGATAAGTATGTCAGCACCTCTGATTTCAAGCCTATCTCTTTCGAAGCCAAACCTTATCCAGAATTAATTATCAAATCTATGTTAGAACATTTCACACGAAATAGTTTTAGGTGGAATTAATAATTATAATTTTGCATTTGCTCAACCATGGAACTTGCCATACCCTATTTGTGATGGAAAACATGGGAATTATGGATTACATGGTGAATGGTATAGAGAATATTGTCTTACCTGCGATCGTAGCATAGACGATCATGTAAGATCGATCAGTTACCTCAACTGAAATGCACAGTATGATATCGGAAAAATTTTTGCTGAAAGAATAGAGCTGTGTTACGTAAGATTTTTGCATATTTTTTTTTGTATTTTGACCTATTTTTTTCTCATACGATCAATAAAGCAAAGGCGCAATTAGCGCAATTAATTTACCAAATTTACAGACACATAATAGAATGGATTGTGAGATGTATGCATATATATTTTTTTTATTGATCCAGAACATGATCAATATTATGTATCACAGGTACAAGTAATTGTGCCAAATAATTTATTCTCAAACTTTCTCATATATTCCCAAAATTCTTGTGTACACAGTGTATATTATTATTAAAAAAAAGGGCGCTTAATGATCTTTACATACGGATAATGTTAAATTCTTTATTGTTAAATTAAGAAGGCTGTTGATCAGATTTTCGTGATGTAATCATATTATCGTAATTTTTCCCAGAAGTGTATTAGTAAAGCAAAAAAATTCAAATTAAGCTTACCATTATTAATTGCTCGGCTAACTTCTTGAAACATGTCATCACAATGTTAATCAATTTTCCCGCCTCTATAGATGTCCCAAAATAAAACAGACATATCTCTTCTTGTTATATATCAGCATTTTGATCTTTGCCGAGACTATCATCACGCGTACAATTGGTGCAATATTACTTCCTGTGATGGAATATTATCTAATCTAGTCAATTTCACATGCATTGTCAGCGCAGTAAAATTTTCTGAAAGATCATACTGGAGATAAAAAATTTAAGCAATAGGAATGGAATGTTGTGAAAATGAATCGTGATGGTTAGTATGAATCAGAAATAATGCATTTTTAACTCACTTGCTGACAACTCCAAAATTTATGCTAGGTCCGAAATTACTTAATCTCGTGAACTAAAATCAAAACTTTCTCTGTTATCTGCGTGGGTGGGATAGATATAGTTTTATTTCGTGTTTATAGAAAAGAGTATGAGCCTAATCTTATAGTTAGCAATATTAGCGATGGAAACAAATTAGTTGTAGATATTTTTTGAAATGTGAGGGAGTAAAGGAATAATATGATGCTAGAACTCACATTAAAAATGGCCTAGAATCCGCGTACACCCTGCCTCTTTGATAGCATAATACAGTACATCTCATTTGCTTCTTTATCATTTTTCACTTCCCTAATAAGAATTCACTCATGTCAGGTTTTATTTTTTTAACACATGCATATGGCAAATAAAAAAATTTTACGTATAAATAATGATGCTTGCATACAATTATGTACTTATCTTTGATATGGAATTTGGAAATCAAAACTTTTGATCATAGTAAAATGTAAAAATAAATAATTTTTGTATAATCTTGCCAATAAATTAAATACTCTGATAGCATGTCGATTTCTATGCCTATTTTGAAATGATCTATGCTTATATCAAAATGGTCTTATGTCAATTTAGTACAGTCTATGTCTATATTTCATAAGGCGATTTCTCAATCAAAATTGCCTAATTTGATATTTATTTGCCAATTTTTAAATTATTACGTAACCTATTAGGATGTCCTATCCTGCTTTTCATATCTTTTCATATAAATATCCATTATTTGTATAGTAATTTATATATATTTACAATTAAATTTTTACAGATTTTGATATTTGTTATAATAATAAGTGTATACAAACATGAATAAACTATTATTATTAATAGTTTGTTACTTTTTTATTTATTATTACAGCTTAATACATTTATAGATGGTTTTTACTTCAAATTACCAGGGTGATCATCACCGTTAGCCAGAATCATCCCTTTTTACTAACACTATATTTTTTAATGCTGTTCGATTGTCATAATTTCAGTCACCAGTGATCATCATCCCCGGTGATAGTTAGAAAAATTCTTTATAGATAATGTACATTTTTTAATTTGTAATATGGTTTCTTAATTTACAATGAACATATATATAATCTTGTAAGTATTAATACATATATTCTCTAAAATTTATTTAAATCGTAATAGATTTTTCATGTATAGCGTAATCTTTATTATTTTAAATTATTGTAAATAATTATCATTATTAAAAATAAACATTATTACTTAACATTTTATTCAAAATAGAAAAGAAACAGTTTATAGTTTTCTAATTACTCACTACCTATATTACTTTCAGTAGCTCTTTAATACTTACCAAAGCTTCTATAATATTTTAAGATGAAGTAATTTAGCTACAATAAACAAAGAAGCATTAGAATCTGAAAGCCCTATTTTTAAAAAATTAAAGTGAATTTAATAATAGTTAGTACTTCATATTATTAAAAGCAACAAAATCTCATAAGGATGCAATAAGATAACTTCCAGCTGGCCATTATCTGAAACGAATAAGGTTGCTTGTCTAAACTTCTTCAAAATCCTACAATTAGTTTCGTCAAAATTTTACTATAGATTTATTATAGTTTCGGCAGAGTTTTGGCAGTTTCGGCATTTATAATAAGTTTTGGCAGTTTCGCCTTTCTCCAAAGTTTTGCCAGTTTTTTAATATAGCTTTAATATAGTTTCGGCAGAATTTCGCTTTTTGGCGAAACGCCATCTTGCCTAAACCCCTAAGTTTCAGCAAGCAACTTTAGAAACGAACTACCGGTAAAATACTTTTTAGGCAATTCAAATATTGCCTTGTGAGAAGTATACAGTCAACTCCCTCTATAGTCACTCCCGTTATAGTCACATTCTACTATATAGTCACACCAGTTGAATGTTCAAAACACTTTATTATTAAAATCTATCCTATAT